TATCGAACATAAACAAAAATATCATTTATTTAAAAAAGTACACATTTACTATATATCAATTATATCTTTGAGGATAAATAATATTATCCCTAAAAATAACGTAGTTTTGTACGACTAAAAATAAATAAACTTTCATTGCTTTTTTTCAGGGTGCCGTAGGATGGCTAGCATCAGACGAAACCAAAGAAGAATACGACGATGACTACATTTTCATGTGCGGCAGTACCCTGATAAGCGAAAACTTTGCTTTGACGGCATCACATTGTGAGAAGGCACCGCCCGGAAATAAGCTAATACAACCTGGTGCATTGAATCCTAAGATAGTTAGGTTTGGCGTAGAGAGGTTATATGTAAGTCTTCTTTTTTTGAAGTATTATTTGTTAGAGGCTGATGTGGCTCATTTCATGATATCTCGCGATTTTTCTTTTTTGATGGGTTCTTTGGCCGATTTTATTTGTTCTTTCGCATAGATAGGCTAGAAATCAGTTCACAGCCGCCTAGGAATTTTGAAATTGGAGAGACAATTGGACAGACAATTGGAGAGCAAGCGAACAGCTCCGGTATCTATATGAACAATAGAGAGTTTTTAAGAATGATGAATGAAGCCTGTGTCAACGGGTTGATCTGGGGCCAGGACCTGACTGATTAGGTCGCAGTGTAGGCTTGCTTATATAACCAAAAGTTGATAGGAAAGGACTCTATAAACAAATCTTAGCAGAAATATGGGACTGGTCCTTCGCATTATGACCTTCCATCCAATCTAGTGTCTTCTACTCTGCCTTGCACGACAAGATGCTCTATGAAGTCAATATCAGTATTATCAGTCAGTATTATCGTATAAATAGATAAACTTTGATGTGAGCTGTGTGGTTTATGTTAGCATTAGTAAGTGGTGTGTCAATACAGTTCTTTCATGATCGCCGTTCATTCAGCTATCATCATGATGACTATACATTTTGTATAGTCGTCCATGATGGGGATAAGTCTCCCTTAACGAAATCATTGGAGACTGTTGTAACCCTTGTCCAATGTTAAGTTTAATTACGACATAATATGTAAAATGGAATCTGCAGCACAGGTTTCCACATGGTAATCGAAACTAGGATCTGCTAAATGGAAAACAAGTATTCCCTCACTACCAGTGCCTATATTCTGTCATTTTTCAAACATATTAAGAATAACAGAATTTTCTTTGTATCATTTTAAATATCAAAGATACATCCATATCCAAGACTTAAAATTTATATAATTATATCGTTGTTTACAGAGAGAAGAGCTATACAGACCTCGTCAAGATGCAGTAATAGCTGCATTCATACCATACCCTGATAGAGACAAGATACACAAAGTGCATGATCTAGCTCTTATACAATTCGAAGATCCTGTCTACTTCACCAGTTTTGTGCGACCTTCTTGTATTGTTCCCCAATCTTTTAAGAGAGCTGAGAAAGCTACTGTTTCTGGTTGGGGAGTCACCAAGAGAAGTAAGTGTAGACAACAAGCTATATTTGTCCCGTTTCTCCCTCTAACTCCATAAGGCTACAGTTCATCATCTTGGATTTAGGCTTTTACATTCCAAGTATATCTCTTATTAGTTTCACTGAATTTTGCTACCATAAGTAAAATTACCATTATATTATTACCATATTATATTTCTTTTCCATGTAAAATCTACTAAGACAATGAAATTTTCCACATTAATTAGTATTCCAGGTTATATTATCTGACACAATTTATTAACACATGTTCAATTATTTGATAGCACCGAGCAATTCGCCAGCAAAAGAACTGCAAAAGACAGACGTGGACATTCTAGATAATAGTCTATGCAATAAGAAACTAAGGCCGAGAATGAAGAAATCCGGATGGCATGGTCTTATCCAACAGATTTGTGCTACGAATCTGGCAGTTCAAACTGATGCTTGTCAGGTTTGTACTTCATTACATTATGTACCTTGAATGGTTGTAGGACAATTCAATATGGTTTTCTGTATGGTTGTTAGTCTCGTAAACGTCTGTGGTCACTGCGGCTTTCATCTCGATCTCGAAAATTTTTGCGAGTCCTAATCATTTTTTGGCATTTTTAAGACTTGAGAAAGAAATGTATTCAAATTACCCAAAAAGTTGGCGGAAAGAATAAAAAGTGCCAGGATCTCGGCTCCGACTACCTATTTACAGCCTTTGGAGTCGAAACCTTTGGCCCGTGGGGTCCCGGTGCCCTTCATCTGTACAACATTTTATCCATAAAATTAATAGACTGTCTGGGAAACCCAAGCGGCCTTTACTTTTTTGTATTTAAGCTTTTATTGTAGCTTACCTGTACATTATGAAAACCAAAAAGTTAAATATGGTAAGATGATATGAATACGTTTTCTTTCCACATATTAATCATAATAAGTAAATGTGAAGTTAGTAACTAATATAAGTATTTAATTCTTCTACAGGGTGATTCCGGCGGTCCTCTTCAAGAGACACTGAAAACAGGGACAGAAACACCTGTATACAATGTCTTAGGTGTCGTCGCGTTCAACTTTGTATGTGCATCGACTAAAGTTCCTAGTATATATACTAAAATGGATCATAAAAATTACATGGATTGGATAGAGAATAAGGTATGGGGAAATAATATTAATGAGTAGGTATAAAAGATAACGCAAGGTCCCAACCTTTTGGATATAATAAACATTAATACATGACACACATGATGTAACAATAGAATAAAACATCGAAGGAAAGGTTGATATCTACGATGATAAGTTACTTTCACCAGATAAAAGTAAAGACAAATGTGGGGTCGAACTAGAAGGTTCAAGAAAGTGAACAGCAAAGTTAGTCTGGAAGGCGCTACATTAACAAAAGCGTCAAACATTAATGAAGAATTATTTACCTTTTATGGGTTTGGTGAAGAAGTCATAAATATAAAAATTCGATCGTGTATCAAATATTTTTGGGCTAGCTCTGTTGTATTATCGGCTTACCCACCACGCTATCAGTAAAAAGAGAGCGGGCTGACGCACTGAGAGACGAGGTGATTTTGTCACTTCTTGTTTTTTAAATTCTTTCCGTTAAGAAAAAGGCAAAGGCTTAAAACCATGCAACCATGTCTTGGCGATTTTTTCTTTCAGTCCATGTACTGAAACTTTCTTTGTTATACATGTTTAATATAGAAACCTTTGACATGGTCAATCTATTATTTGAGACTTTTTAGTAGAAATTAGTTATTGTATGAGATTCTATGTAATAAAATGATTTCGCTGGTTTTTAATTGTTTTTGTGCTAAAATTACTAATGCCTCTTTTTTAAATAGCTATCGATATAATAGCTTTGCAATTGCATTGCAGTTTGGACGCAGCTCTTGGCACCATGCGTTTATGCAGTGCCGGACAAAACTTATTTACAATTTAAACTTTTGGTACGAACCCCTGTCATGACATTTCCACGCTCGATAGCAGTATTAATGCTTAATGTACTCGAAATAAAAACGATTTTTGTAAAACAAGACAGTTTTACAAAAATCGTAATAAATAATTGTGTAGGGTTTTTGAACAGTAATTCAATGTATGTCCGATCACCCTTATGTTTGACCAAACCCTAGAATCAGGGCAATCCTCTAAAACTCATTTATTTTTGTATTTATTTGGCGTCGATCATCTTATTATATTAACTTGTTCCGATAAAATTAATACTGAAATTGTAACCAAACTTGATCAATGCAAATCTGGCTCTAATTAATGGCCAGAACAAAAACCATCTTCACCTTTTGAACCTTAAGTCTCCTTGAAACCGCTGAATTGTGTAACTGTGACAAAGTGGAGCACCTGCCTCGTTCAATTATTAAACTCACTTGTTGCTCGAGTGGTCTGAGTTAAGTGTAGAAACTTGCCCAGTAAAGACTACATAATGCAGACGAATAGCTCCTTCGTTCTGCATGCAGTCCTGGTACTTGTGGAGTCAGTGGCGTATAATTAGTTTCTATAGAATTTGTGTTATTATCAAATACAGGGCTTTAGTAGGTTATCATTAAGAAGATTAGATGCTGTGCTTACTTGTAGAATTAGTGGCATATAGGATATCTTGCAGATATCAGCACCGCTCTTTTTTAACAAGCTTATTCTGAAAGACATAACTATCAACGGCGATTCCTACCGCGGTACGACTAGGACTGCTTTCTATGATTACTGTCTTCTGACGTACTTACTATTAATTAACTAATGTATATATGCAATCCAAGATTTTTTAGGAAAGAGTTTAAGTTCAATCTCACTTGATAAATAAATCACGATGAGGTTGTCGACGGAGCATGTTAGCCCAGATAGTGCCTATCCACCGGTGAACAGATCAGCAGGCAAAGAATGGAGATGGTAATTTAGTAGTGCTTCTAATAAATTGATCTGCAAAAAATGCAGGGAAAAAACACATTTTGCAGACATACATACATACAATACGACAGGTCTTTTGTTTTATGTTGCCCTGGTATACAACTTTAAGTAAATAAGTAGTTTTATAGACGATTGCAAAAATTGTTTAGGGAACGGCTCTGGTGAACTACATCCAATTGGATTTGGGCACATATTTAACAGATTATACTGCTATCTATATTCAGATGATATTCGTGTAGGGGCTTTGGAATACCCTGAAATCTCAAAAACTCTATCGTGGCTATAGTGGTAGATATTTTTACTTGTCCGTTCGTGGTGTTATTATATATGAGTTATTTATTATTCTTTGACCTATGGCCAATAAATTGTTCTTTTACCAATGTTATTTATGTTTAACATGACTGAATTGGAATAAATACTTTAAAAAATAAACAAATTGTTGAAAAACAGCGCAGTAAAAACTTTCTGCAAACAATAAATAATTTCGATTACTCCTTTTACGTTATTTAAAACACAAATATAGTTTTTAAAGATATCACATTATGATAGTCGATATACAAAGCCGTTTAACCGTTTATTCGGTGATTATACGTCATAAAAATAAAATATCTGTATATAAAAGCTATATATAATAGTAAACTACATTGAATCGTCGAGATTATCTCTTTTTTACGACGCCTCAGAATAAATGTAACGTTTTTATACAAATTTTATTCCCAATATTACCTAAAAACTCATTTAATATTCGATTAGCTTGTTGGGTTATTAGTTAGTAGTTTTATATATATATATATTAGGTATATTTACTTTAATAAATAACAATAACGCGCGCACACTCATAGCTCTGCACCAGGGAACCCTATATCGCAGGTGCCATGGACACACAACCACAAATAACGCCCAAACTCACGAGAGAAATAAATGTAGGCCATACAAATATTTCTCCCGGTCCGGGAATCGAACCTGGGACCACTGCGTGGCAGGCCGGCATGGTAACCGTTCGTCCGTTAACAATTTTACATTAAATTAAATATATTAAATTTTTATCCATACATATGTATTTCTGGAGGAGAAATGTACTTGACAATTGGTTGCACTCTCTGTTTATTATCATTTTTAAGTTCACCGCGAGGTTGTCTGGAAGATTGCTATCTAGCAATAACTCGCCTGTGTATTCTGGTAAGGTACAATAAAAGCTTAAATACTGGAAACTAAATCAAGGATTAAATTGTATGAATAAAATTGGGTCCCCAAGACGCTGGCAGCGCACTCCCTTTGTATAGCTATGCTAATGCGTTGGGCAAGGTAGCTGGCTGCCCTTGGGTTTCCCAGACAGTCTATTCATATTTTGGATACAATTTTGTACAGATGAAGGGCACCGGGAGTCCACGGGCCAATGGTTTCGATTCCAAAGGGTTAAGGGCCTGTTAATGAAGCTTGTCTTATAACCGCTCACGCGATACATGCAGCCGTAGACGCATACCACACCTAGACGTGCCGGTGATGATTTTATACCGATTTATCGGATATCGAAGTTATAACAGGTAAAAGAACTAATACTAATTGCTATTTCGGTAACTACTCTAGCAAACCATAAAGTTTTCGATGCCTGGGTCTGTCATTTAAAAAAATAAACAACTTCAAAAATACGTCACGACAATCGTGTGTGTTATTGTTTGGGCTGGTGATTTCGGTGTTTATTTATTGAAAACATACCGTAAGTAGCGTTTTTTAAGTTTACCCTGAATATAAATGTTTATAAAATATACTTTAAGGAGTAATTTCATGGTAAACATTAGAACCACTCAAACGGAATATTATCATATTTACCCAAGTACACCAAAAATTTCATTAGTGCTTTTTAAGTGCAGGATTTGCGGTGCATTACTGCATTTTATTTGAGATGTTTTTGTTGTAGTACGGAGGGTATTTATTTAGCAATGCAGAGTAATAATTTTTATTTTTAAAAACTTGTATTTAAACTGAATCCTTTTCTAATTTGCGAAACCAAATAACCGCCATTTTGCGGTAGGATGAGCCCATCGCGTGAGCGGATAGTAAAATTCTTGTTTGCTTTTGTAAGTATTTATATTTTTGCATGTAATGACGAGTATTTGTAATGCACTATAGACGTATTTTCCAAAGAACGGAATGAAAACCCAAATATTTCCCCATGCCCGTAACATACTCGTAAATCAAGAGTTAATTAAAATGTTGCAACGGGATTTTCCATGACAGCTTCTGTCCGAGGATTATCAATAAATCGAGTGCGGACATTGAAATTCCCATTTTATTTTAACATCATTTCCAATGCAGACTTGATTAAAATGTTTAGCTTCAATCGTAATCAATTCATTTGTTTAATCGGGAACTCCGATTCAATAATTACTGCTTCATTTACATATAACAACAAATACCATCAGCCCTTCACTGGTCTCCTATATGAGATAATTTAGGCAATATACTATGTAACAAATTTTCACAAGTGTTCTGTTTTTTAACCGACTTCGAAAAAGGAGGAGGTTCTCAAATCGATTGTATGTTTTTTTTTTTGTATGTATGTTACGCGATAACTCCGGTATTTGTGAACCGATTTTCATGATTCTTTTTTGTTGGAAAGGGGGTATTTCCATAGTGGTCCCATTTCATTTTGAAATGGATGGTGGATGTTCACGCATGAAGATTCATTTTTATAAATAGCGCCTAACTTTCATTTAGGAGCAATTACTTTTAGCAATTAATTAGTTGATTTTGCTATTTCTCCAATTCAAGGCGTTTTTCTCTCGACATACTTTGAGTAGTGTCGTAGTGAAAACCTATTTTTATTATCTCCAGTATCAAGTCCTGTATAGTGGCGAACTAGGGGATATTTCGATGAAACTTAGCAAATAGACGTAATTCCACGTACTTTTTTTAATTACACGTACTCTGTACTGAGATTATGGTTTGATAGTATTGGTTTTTGCTTAATTGCAAGTATCTAAGTAAGGTCTTCGTATGAACTTAGACAAAACTAAAGTCATGATCAATGATCACATTGTCCCGAAACCAACCGTAGTAAATGGCCACCTTCTCGAAGTTGTTTCCGAATACATTTACCTCGGGCAGATTCTGCGATCGGATAGAAACAACGTTGAGAGGGAATCCAAGAGTAGGATTCAGTTTGGCTTGGTAACGCTTTAAGCTGCGTCGAGTCTTCTCGTCGCCCATACCGCAATGTTTGAAAACAAAAGTTTTCAATCAGTGCGTTCTATCTGTTATGACATACGAAGCCTAAACGTGGACTCTCACGATGTAGTGCACCAGTTGAAGATCCCTCAGCGAGCTGTGGGAACGAGCTATGCTCGGAGTTTCTCTGAAGGACAAGGTACGAAACGAGGTATTCCGACATGTGACGATGCGACCTCCTCCATAGTCGTCCCATCTTTTTATCACGTTTTCTCTGGTTCCTGGCCACTTATTATTAAATTCTGAATCGTTCTTTAATTCTTTTGCTTCATAATTCTTGCATTGTTTCGTTCCGTCGTCACTCTCTACTTAATATCTGAAGCGAGCACTCTTACTTGTCTTCACCACTAATTTTGATCCGTTTACC